TACATACATAAAGCACTCTTTACCTAAACTCCACTCAAGTATAAGAGAATGATACTGGATGGGACAATAACAAAAAGCGTTCAAACTCATACATGCCAGTACATGCAAGTCACACATTTGAAGACTTTTCTAACATTTGCTTGTTCAAAAAATGAGTTTAGTATATTTTCTTGTAAGCCTGGTAAGATACTAGCTGCAGTATACCACTCGGCCAAAAAGAACTTCTCATTAACTTGATCAGATGAGTGTCGGACATCACAAGCCAGAAATGATAGTTTTCTTTGATTCCCACACCTACATTGTATACATAGGTTTTTAGAAATGATATTTGGCCATGCCTGATAAGCATTACTAACCCCTGGAAGCTGTAGGGTGTGTTCTTTCCTGAGATATATTATGTGATACTGGTACCATAACAGGGACATATAATATGTAAGTAGTACTGTAAAGGCCCCTGTAACATACTGGCAGCAATATACCAATCAGCTAGAGATCTTGTCTTCCACTCGATCAGTTGAGTGTAAGTACGTAAACCAGAGGTCCAGTGTTCAAATCCTAGCAGAGACATTAAAGTGAAATAACAACCTCTGTCACCTCGCACCTACCTACAGACTCAGGAGTAATACTAAGCCATGCCACAAAAATCACTGTAACCTCTGGAAACTCAAGAAAAAAAATTTTCCTGGAGGGGAGTTTAACTCTGATAAAATATTAATGTTGGTTACAATTTACTGCTCAGTTAGAGAGAACTTCTCTTTAGCTTGTTCAGTTATGTGTAACACTAATGAAAAAGCAGTCCCAGTTTAATTCCTAATAGCAGCATTGAAATAAATAATGAATAGTGTTACATTCATTTCTTGTTTCATTTAAATCTACAGTTATGTTAATCTCACTTAATCCTTTTTTAGTCCGACAAAGTTTGACACAGACAAACCATTCTCCATCATAAATCCAAGTTATTGAGAAAAATACAAGTAGGCTGATGATGTTGACTCATGCACATGAGGTTATGGTGGTGAATATTTTGAACGTTGAATGCACATTCTTTGTATTTATCTGATGTAATAAGTAGTAATAATTTGTAATACTATAATATCTAAAATAGAACCAATGCCACTGTTACTATAAAAAAGAATAAAAAGTTTCTTCATTTTTCGCTTGGATACCCGAGGTTGCGCAGGGGATTGATTAGTAAGGGTGAGCAGGAAGAACCCGCCTCCAGCCTATAAATATTGATTTTGCCTGATTTAAGTTTTATAACTTGTACATCAGGAATAAAATTGAATCTACATGAAAATGTATCACACATTAGAGATAATTTACACCTCCCTTCAACAAAACATGATTGTCCATGATCACTGATGTCACACTGTACATGATCACTGTTGTCACACTGTCCATGATACCTGATGTCAGGCTGTCCATGACCACTGAAGTCAGATTGTTCATGATCACTGATGTCAGACTGTGTATGATGACTGATGTCAGACTGTGTATGATGACTGATGTCACACTGCCCATGATCACTGATGTCAGACTGCCCATGATCACTGATGTCACACTGTCCATGATCACTGATGTCAGACTGTACATGATCACTGATGTCAGACTGTACATGATCACTGATGTCACACTGCCCATGATCACTGATGTCTGACTGCCCATGATCACTGATGTCAGACTGCCCATGATCACTGATGTCAGACTGTCCATGATCACTGATGTCAGACTGTACATGATCACTGATGTCAGACTGTACATGATCACTGATGTCACACTGTCCATGATCACTGATGTCAGATTGTTCATGATCACTGATGTCACAATGTCCATGATCACTGATGTCAGATTGTCCATGATCACTGATGTCACACTGTCCATGATCACTGATGTCAGATTGTCCATGATCACTGATGTCACACTGTCCATGATCACTAATGTCACACTGTCCATGATCACTGATGTCTGACTGTACATGATCTCTGATGTCACACTGTCCATGATCAATGATGTCAGACGGTCCATGATCACTGATGTCACACTGTACATGATCTCTGATGTCACGCTGTCCATGATCACTGATGTCAGACTGTACATGACCACTGATGTCAGACTGTCCATGATCACTGATGTCAGACGGTCCATGATCACTGATGTCAGACTGTCCATGATCACTGATGTCAGACGGTCCATGATCACTGATGTCAGACGGTCCATGATCACTGATGTCAGACGGTCCATGATCACTGATGTCACACTGTCCATGATCACTGATGTCACACTCTCCGTGATCACAGATGTCAGACTGTACATGATCACTGATGTCAGACGGTCCATGATCACTGATGTCAGACGGTCCATGATCACTGATGTCAGACGGTCCATGATCACTGATGTCACACTGTCCATGATCACTATTGTCTAGTTTCCGAGAGTTTCTGAGAATGGAAACCACCAGTTTTTAAGATGAAATCTCACCTCATTATGACAAACAAACCAATAATTTCAACATTGACCCCTACCGAGAACCAGAAATTAATCAACTACATGCATGGTATATACAAATTAGTGATACCATTATAAGATACCTTCTTCTTGTGGCTGTGAAATGATTGTAAGAGAAAATTGTTGAGATTTTGTGTCAGCACAGTCTTATTGATTGTTTGGGTACATTTACATTCAAGAGATTGGTCATTAATCAAAATCTATTTCTCATGAGCATATGATTGTATTTGAAACAGATTTGCTATGATACGTGCTTGGGATGATTGAAGCAAAAATAGATTGAGTGTAATGAATAAGTCATCACCATTGCTACAAAGTAAGCTGATACTGTTATGTTACAGCCTTTTCTGCTCTGTTTCAGGTGTATGATACACGAGGTTGATCCCGGAAATGATTTGATGTGGACATGTTTTATCAGGATTAATTTATATCTGTGAAAAAGAGTGATTCAGCATATGGCTTCATATATATTTATACATTGAATAGCCTGTCAACTTAAACTTTTCAAGTAAGTAACTGTTCATGTTGAACTTTAATAATTTTTTATACACAGTATAAGCAATATTATTGTCTGTTGGCTGGCATTGTCATGAAGGACTGGATAATTTTTATACATGACAATGTAAAATCAATTCATTTATAACTTTTATTAATTTTAGAAGTCATATTCAACATGACAGATAAAAAGTCAGTTGACAGAGAAACCATTGTTGAGTCATACAACTTGTGCAAATGGGAAAAAAATGGACCAGCCACACAATATCTGTGCGACCTTCTAGCTAGTACACACCCACATGCACAATTGCACAATCTATGTTTAAGATAGCATAATTTGTTACAAAATTGGTTTATCAATAATACTGATTGTAACGTTAGATGGAAGACTTATGTCTCAGAGGTTGGGGTTCTTGGTCATTAAATTTTAATACGGAATATAAAAACTGAAATAGGTATTGACGAAAATTGAATATTTTGGTGGTATTCTGATGTGTTTCAATCTGATTTATTGTGATCAGTTTGTTACGTAGATTTATGTTGACATTCTGTGTTACACTTGCCTACATGTCACCAGTAGGTGGGTTACAGGTTTCCTGTCTCCTTGATTCGTCCTGTTTTAAGATGTTCTCTTACCAATGAAGATCAGTGTTCTGGTGACATATGTGATTAGTATTGTATGTAAGCAAGATGTTAGCAAGGTAGACTATTTAACCAAGTAAAATGATCATCTGTTAGTATAAACTGTAATCTTTCTGCACCACTGTCCTCCACTATTCATTCATCACCCACCACCACCACCTCCCTACCATTTGTCATGCCACTGTCCTCCACTATCCATTTCTCCCCACCACCACAACTCCCCTACCATCTGTAATGCCACTATCCTCCACTATTCATTTATCACCCAACACCACCACTCCCCTCCCATCTGTCATGCCACTGACCTCAACTATTCATTTATCACCCACCACCACCACCACCACCACCACTCCCCTACCATCTGTCAGGCCTCTGTCCTCCACTATCCATTCCCCCACCACCACCACCACAACTCCCCTACCATCTGTCATGCCACTGTCCTCCACTATTCATTTATCACCCACAACCACCACTCCCCTACCATCTGTCAGGCCACTGTCCTTCACTATCCATTCCCCCCAACCACCACCACTCCCCTACCATCTGTCAGGCCATTGTCCTCCACTATCCATTTCTCCCCCACCACCACCACCACCACTCCCCTACCATGTGTCAGGCCACTGTCCTCCACTATTCATTCATCACCCACCACCACCACCTCCCTACCATTTGTCATGCCACTGTCCTCCACTATCCATTTCTCCCCACCACCACAACTCCCCTACCATCTGTAATGCCACTGTCCTCCACTATTCATTTATCACCCAACACCACCACTCCCCTCCCATCTGTCATGCCACTGACCTCAACTATTCATTTATCACCCACCACCACCACCACTCCCCTACCATCTGTCAGGCCACTGTCCTCCACTAACCATTCCCCCACCACCACCACAACTCCCCTACCATCTGTCATGCCACTGTCCTCCACTATTCATTTATCACCCACAACCACCACTCCCCTACCATCTGTCAGGCCACTGTCCTCCACTATCCATTCCCCTCCCCCCCACCACCACCACTCCCCTACCATCTGTCAGGCCATTGTCCTCCACTATCCATTTCTCCCTCACCACCACCACCACCACTCCCCTACCATCTGTCAGGCCACTGTCCTCCACTATTCATTCCCCCACCACCACCACAACTCCCCTACCATCTGTCATGCAACTGTCCTCCACTCTTCATTTATCACTCACCACCACGACTCCCCTACCATCTGTCAGGCCACTGTCCTCCACTATCCATTTATCACCCACCACCACTCCCCTACCATCTGTCATGCCACTGTCCTCCACTATCCATTTATCACCCACCACCACCACCACCACCACCACAACTCCCCTACCGTCTGTCATGCCACTGTCCTCCACTCTCCATTTATCACCCACCACCACCACTCCCCTCCCATCTGTCAGGCCACTGTCCTCCACTATCAATTTCTTCCCCACCACCACCACCACCACTCCCCTACCATCTGTCAGGCCACTGTCCTCCACTATCCATTTCTCCCCCACCACCACCACCACCACCACCACTCCCCTACCATCAGTCAGGCCACTGTCCTCCACTATTCATTTATCACCCACCACCAAATCCACTCACCTCCCATCTGTCAGGCCACTGTCCTCCACTATCCATTCCCCTACCACCACCACAACTCCCCTACCATCTGTCATGCCACTGTCCTCCACTCTTCATTTATCACTCACCACCACCACCACTCACCTCCCATCTGTCAGGCCACTGTCCTCCACTATCCATTCCCCCACCACCACCACAACTCCCCTACCATCTGTCATGCCACTGTCCTCCACTATTCATTTATCACCCACCACCAAATCCACTCACCTCCCATCTGTCAGGCCACTGTCCTCCACTATCCATTCCCCTACCACCACCACAACTCCCCTACCATCTGTCAGGCCAATGTCCTCCACTATCCATTTATCACCCACCACCACTCCCCTATCATTTGTCATGCCACTGTCCTCCACTATCCATCCCCCCACCATCACCACCATTCCCTACCATCTGTCAGGCCACTGTCCTCCACTATCCATTCCCCCACCATCACCACCATTCCCTACCATCTGTCAGGCCACTGTCCTCCACTATCCATTTCTCTCCCACCACCACTCCCCTATCATCTGTCAGGCCACTGTCCTCCACTATCCATTCCCCCACCACCACCACCACTCCCCTACCATCTGTCAGACCACTGTCCTCCACTATTCATTTCTCTCCCACCACCACTCCCCTATCATCTGTCAGGCCACTGTCCTCCACTATCCATTTCTCTCCCACCACCACTGCCACCACTCACCTCCCATCTGTCATGCCACTGTCCTCCACTATCCATTCCCCCACCACCACCACCACTCCCCTACCATCTGTCAGGCCACTGTCCTCCACTATCCATTTCTCTCCCACCACCACTCCCCTATCATCTGTCAGGCCACTGTCCTCCACTATCCATTCCCCCACCACCACCACCTCTCCCCTACCATCTGTCAGGCCACTGACCTCCACTATCCATTTATCACCCACCACCACCACTCCCCTCCCATTTGTCATGCCACTGACCTCAACTATTCATTTATCACCCACCACCACCACTCCACTACCATCTATCAGGCCACTGTCCTCCATTATCCATTCCCCCACCACCACCACCACTCCCCTACCATCTGTCAGGCCACTGTCCTCCACTATCCATTTCTCCCCCACCACCACTACCACCACCACCACCACCACCACCACCACCACCACCACCACCACCACCACCACCACCACCACCACCACCACCACCACCACCACCACCACCACCACCACTCCCCTACCATCTGTCAGGCCACTGTCCTCCACTATTCATTTATCACCCACCACCACCACCACTCACCTCCCATCTGTCAGGCCACTGTCCTCCACTATCCATTCCCCCACCACCACCACAACTCCCCTACCATCTGTCATGCCACTGTCCTCCACTCTTCATTTATCACTCACCTCCACGACTCCCCTACCATCTGTCAGGCCACTGTCCTCCACTATCCATTTATCGCCCACCACCACTCCCCTACCATCTGTCAGGCCACTGTCCTCCACTATCCATTTATCACCCACCATCACCACCACTCCCCTACCATCTGTCAGGCCACTGTCCTCCACTATCCATTCCCCCACCACCACCACCACTCCCCTACCATCTGTCATGCCACTGTCCTCCACTATCCATTTATCACCCACCACCACCACTCCCCTCCCATCTGTCAGGCCACTGTCCTCCACTATCCATTTCTCCCCCACCACCATCAACACCACTCCCCTATCATCTGTCAGGCCACTGTCCTCCACTATCCATTTCTCCCCCACCACCACCACCACTCCCCTACCATCTGTCAGGCCACTGTCCTCCACTATCCATTTCTCCCCCACCACCACCACCACCACCACCACCACCACCACCACCACCACCACCACCACCACCACCACCACCACCACCACCACTCCCCTACCATCAGTCAGGCCACTGTCCTCCACTATTCATTTATCACCCACCACCATCACCACCACTCACCTCCCATCAGTCAGGCCACTGTCCTCCACTATCCATTCCCCCACCACCACCACCACTCCCCTACCATCTGTCAGGCCACTGTCCTCCACTATTCATTTATCACCCACCACCACCACCACTCACCTCCCATCTGTCAGGCCACTGTCCTCCACTATCCATTACCCTTCCACCACCACAACTCCCCTACCATCTGTCATGCCACTGTCCTCCACTCTTCATTTATCACTCACCACCACCACCACTCACCTCCCATCTGTCAGGCCACTATCCTCCACTATCCATTCCCCCACCACCACCACAACTCCCCTACCATCTGACACGCCCACACTTGAGCTTGTTGCCTCATCTGTTTTGGGCTAAAAATACTTGGATCAGTTAGCTGTTGTAAGGTCTTGTTAAACCCACGCCTTTCTGTGTTAATCATCACAATTTCCTTTGCAGTTTCAGTGGGTGTGGTATCAAATTGAGAATTGGTTTATATATTTGCGTAATTATATGTATTTTCAAGTTAAAAATGGTTAATCAGTGCTTATAGAAAAAGAATTGTTTTCATAATTTTGGCGCTTAAATATCATGTATTTGCATGGGATAAAGAATCGGTCTGAACAATGTTGAGAGTATCAACTAGCTCTAAGGTTGTTCAATTTTTAGAGCAATCCACTCTATTAAGAAGAAAAATGTTTAAATATCATCTGATGTAGACTCGCTTATTATGCATTGTTCATTATTTTCTAGAACTCAGAGGGTTTCTGTTTCCAAAAGAGTTTTCTAAGCAACATTGAAAATATGTGAATTTCTCTTTATGTTTTAGAATACATTCATATATTAGATCTGAATGGTAAGTCATGATAATTAATAAACAAAAAATAAAGTTTAAGAGACAAGTTGTAGATTCCCGGGCAGTAATGTACACAAACACTGTGGTGATGTGCCAGAAAAAAGGTTATTAAGGGCAATTATTAGACTAAGAATCTTGCAAGCATAGAAACTAGAAGGGATGGCAGGGTACATATATACCTAATTCTGTATTGTTCATAATGGGAATGCCAGCTTGGATTATGATAGTTTTAGTTGCTTATTTTATCTTGCGTAGCTTTGGATAAATCATTTTTAGATCTGATATGTAGGTTTCTCTCAGCATTAGTTGTACACACATTTAATTTTCAGAGGGTTGGGAAAGAAGGGAATAGAAGCAAATGGATTCTACTGACAAAGTAAAAAAAAAAGATACAATGATAGGCACCAAAAACCCATTTGGGATCTTTTGTTAAATTCTTAACCTCTGCTGGCAGGGATTAAGTATTCCAACTTTAATTGAATTTGTTCATTCTCCTTGCCAGATAATTTCACTGATGTTCTGAGTTGATAATTTATAAACACAAAATAAACACAGAAGCAGCAAAGATTACAAAAGATCAGGTTCAACCATAGCCATCATCTTTGAAAATCAAACTCATACTGCATGATATTTTCCTTTTCGGCCAGATGAATTCTGACGTTGTGAATATTTTAATTTGTGTATTAGTGGAAGAAATCAGTCGGAAATTAAAGCATCAGTGCTAGGTACAAAATAGGAGAAAAACAAAGGTTACAGGTCAGTAGCACTACCAGAGAGATCAATATCGTATCAAGGCCCTTGTTTCTCATAAGAGGCCTTCCATCACCTTCTGATTAAGTTCATGGTAATGCTATATAAGTGGCTTAGGGATGAGCTAGGCATACTTACAAACGATGGGCAATTCTTGTCTAGACCAAACCCATAATCTTGTAAGAGTTTGCTGATGAAAAGCTATTTTGATGTAGAGATTGATAGAAACAAATTAATCCTGTCTGGTCTAGTAATGCCTACTGGAGGTAGACCAATATCAAGTGGTTTGTGTGTAGAAAATTTTCTGGTTCTATCCTGTTCTCTCCCTGCCTTAAACTGGGATTATATAAAAATCCCATACTTTGGCAACTGATTGCATTGCTTAGCAATTTGTGTTCTCATCATAGTCATCAGCTTTCAAATACTTGAAGTGAATTTATAATCAAGGCTTGTAAAAAGAAATCAATATTAATACCAATTTTTAGTGAGCTATTACATTGGCAAATTTTGATGAAATTTCGTGTGAGTGATCTGTACAGGCTACTAATAAACTTCTATCATGTTTTAAGTGAACACAAATTTTACCATTACCACCATTTTTAGAATCTATTTATAAATAATAAATCAAATATTATTTGAATAATATTGATGAAACCTTTCAGGAATGATCAATAGATGATCTCATTTTAGATGTGCTTGTACAGAGAATCAGCATAAATCAATGTACCGGCTACTCCTCTAAAACTACTGAATTGATTTCAACAATATTTGCTGGCTATAGTCCTTATACATTGTAGAGGTGTATGATCTGTATGGAGTTAAGTTGCATCCTCTTCAGGGAAGGAACAGTAATGATCCACAGTACAAATGTGTAGTTATATTATAACCCAGGAATAAATGTAATCCCAGGAGACCTAAGAATTCCAAGTTTTACCTGGTTATGATCAAAATCTCAGATTCAGGTTATGGTCTAATTATCTCATAATACAGGAATCTATTAGGGGTTGTTATCTTATAGCTGATTACCTACCGTAGATATGTATATGAAAAAGCTTAAATTAAAGAAACCTAGAGGTAGTCATCATGATCTCAAATAAGTGATATATTAACAATTAAAAAAACCCAAAAAACTTTCCAAAAAGATACAATGAAAGATCACAATCCATAGGAAACATTGAGATGGTAATGAAACACAATCCCCCCACTCCTCCTCCAAAATCCTGTGTAACAGATAAAAAGGAAATATTGTGATATACTGAAAGAAATCTGAAAAAAAACCTAAGAAAGGTCACAATCCCAAACAAACCTATAGGAATAGTCATAATTAAACTAGGGATGGTCACAATCCTAAATCAAACTAGGGATAGTCACAATCCTAAATCAAACCTATAGGAATGGTTACAATCCTAAATCAAACTAGGGATAGTCACAATCCCAAACAAACCTATAGGAATGGTTATAATTAAACTAGGGATAGTCACAATCCTAAATCAAACTAGGGATAGTCACAATCCTAAATCAAACTAGGGATAGTCACAATCCCAAACAAACCTATAGGGATGGTCACAATCCTAAATCAAACTAGGGATAGTCACAATCCTAAATCAAACTAGGGATAGTCACAATCCAAAGTCAAACTAGGGATAGTCACAATCCCAAACAAACCTATAGGAATGGTTACAATTAAACTGGAGATAGTCACAGTCCTAAATCAAACTAGGGATAGTCACAATCCTAAATCAAACTAGGGATAGTCACAATCCCAAACAAACCTATAGGAATGGTTACAATTAAACTAGGGGTATTCACAATCCTAAATTAAACTAGGGATAGTCACAATCCTAAATTAAACTAGGGATGGTCACAATTCTAAATCAAACTAGGGATAGTCACAATCCCAAACAAACCTATAGGAATGGTTACAATTAAACTAGAGATAGTTACAATCCTAAACAAACCTATAGGAATGGATACAATTAAACTAGGGATAGTCACAATCCTAAATCAAACTAGGGATAGTCACAATCCTAAATTGAACTAGGGATGGTCACAATTCTAAATCAAACTAGGGATAGTCACAATCCCAAACAAACCTATAGGAATGGTTATAATTAAACTAGAGATAGTCACAGTCCTAAACAAACTTATAGGAATGGTTACAATTAAACTGGAGATAGTCACAGTCCTAAATCAAACTAGGGATAGTCACAATCCAAAGTCAAACTAGGGATAGTCACAATCCCAAACAAACCTATAGGAATGGTTACAATTAAACTGGAGATAGTCACAGTCCTAAATCAAACTAGGGATAGTCACAATCCTAAATCAAACTAGGGATAGTCACAATCCCAAACAAACCTATAGGGATGGTCACAATCCTAAATCAAACTAGGGATAGTCACAATCCTAAATCAAACTAGGGATAGTCACAATCCCAAACAAACCTATAGGGATGGTCACAATCCTAAATCAAACTAGGGATGGTCACAATCCTAAATCAAACTAGGGATAGTCACAATCCCAAACAAACCTATAGGAATGGATACAATCAAACTAGGGATAGTCACAATCCTAAATCAAACTAGGGATGGTCACAATCCTAAATCAAACTAGGGATAGTCACAATCCTAAATCAAACTAGGGATAGTCACAATCCTAAACGAACCTATAGGAATGGTTACAATTAAACTAGGGATAGTCACAATCCCAAACAAGCCTAAAGGAATGGTCACAATCCTAAATCAAACTAGGGTTGACCACAATCCCCAAAAGTCCTAGAATTGGTTACAATCCCAACAAAAGGTACTCATGAACAAATGTAGGAATTGTCAAAATCCCAAACTAACCAATAGGAGTCATAAATATACCAAACAAAGCTAAGAATTGTCACAGTCCCAAACTAACCTATAGGAATCATAAATATACCAAACAAAGCTAAGAATTGTCACAATCCCAAACTAACCTATAGGAGTCATAAATATACCAAACAAAGCTAAGAATTGTCACAATCCCAAACTAACCTATAGGAGTCATAAATATACCAAACAAAGCTAAGAATTGTCACAATCCCAAACTAACCAATAGGAATCATAAATATACCAAACAAAGCTAAGAATTGTCACAATCCCAAACTAACCTATAGGAGTCATAAATATACCAAACAAAGCTAAGAATTGTCACAATCCCAAACTAACCAATAGGAGTCAGAAATATACCAAACAAAGCTAAGAATTGTCACAATCCCAAACTAACCTATAGGAGTCATAAATATACCAAACAAAGCTAAGAATTGTCACAATCCCAAACTAACCTATAGGAGTCATAAATATACCAAACAAAGCTAAGAATTGTCACAATCCCAAACTAACCAATAGGAGTCAGAAATATACCAAACAAAGCTAAGAATTGTCACAATCCCAAACTAACCTATAGGAGTCATAAATATACCAAACAAAGCTAAGAATTGTCACAATCCCAAACTAACCTATAGGAATCAGAAATATACCAAACAAAGCTAAGAATTGTCACAATCCCAAACTAACCTATAGGAATCAGAAATATACCAAACAAAGCTAAGAATTGTCACAATCCCAAACTAACCTATAGGAATCATAAATATACCAAACAAAGCTAAGAATTGTCACAATCCCAAACAAACCTAGGATTGGTCAACACCTCCAACAATCAGAAGAAAGGTCACAATCCCAATCAAACCTATAGGAATGGTCTAACTCCCAAATCAGCCTAGAGATGGTCACAATCCCAATCAAAC